CCCCAAAACCCCAAAACCCCAAAACCCCATATGATTAGAATTATTTATAGTAAAGAAATATTTCTTATCTCAATTATTAATGAAGATTTATAATGATTTTAATACAATTATACATTGTTAATATTTAAAAGTTTGATACTAGTACTTTATAAATCATCTGGCTGTACCTTTGTTCAGTTTAAATTAGAATATACTTAGTTAATTATCACTCAGGTATTGAATCAAGTTTGAGTTAATCACTTGAATTCTTTTTCCTCTTCAGAGGAGGAGAACTTGTTCGATGTTCAAATATATTTATTTGGCCATTGAAAGTGTTAGACAGAATCATAGCTTGCTAAGGATGCCATGAAACTTCTCTGCAGTATCTCGTTCCTTGAGGCTTGTCTAGTGGATTTAACTTCAATCTCTAAACGCAGTGATTAGTCTTTGTATCATATATTGCGCAGGATCCATCATTAGAGCCGGTATAAACATAACGTTGATTAGTATATAATGGAGAAAATTTGCATCTAATTAGTGTTGGAAATGTTTAATGATGACCTTTGAATGTCATTAGGGAATAGTCATTTTCGCAATACTCCTATTTGACTTAAGGTTGAATAGTAGAGTAGCCACTCCTGCATGACATGTTTTTCATCTTCCTCTGCTTGATTTCACTCGCAGCGTTAAACTTACGAAGATCCCAGAGTTTTATTGTCCAATCTTTGGAACTCGAGCAGATTTGAGGCTCATTTTATTTGAAGTCAAGACAAACTATTCCTCCTGTATGACCTACGAAGCAACCAATAGGTTTACTATTGTAATCAAATATTCTTCTATCCCATAGTCTTACATAGCCAGCATCACCAGCCGTTGCAATTATATTGTAATCGAATGTACAGCAAATCGAGTTGATATCGAATTTAGTTTCATCTATGCTGTTAGCTTCATTATTTTGGACTAGCACTTTTTGATATTCCAAATCATACAAGAAAAGCTTTCCCAGTTTCTTTGCAAACCATATTTCTTTTTCGTTGCTTTCTGAAATGCACAAAGAAAATATGGCTTTCTTCATCATTAATGCGCAAGATGATAGATTCGATGTTTGAGGGTCTTACTCCTCAGTTTGATCTACAAATAGCAGTCTTGTCTCCTCAATATTCTAATCTTCTCCATAGTTTTTGTAATTTTCTTTCACTTTATGCAAGTCTATAAAAATATTGAATAAATTCAAATGTCTTTTCAATAGATATTTACCTATCATCTTGAGCATTCCTGAGAAGGTTGGATAGATCAGAAAACTCTCAGATTTAGGTGCAATTTAGATATCAGGTATGCAAACATGAGCATCAAACACATTTTTACGAATTAAAGGCTTATTCACTCTTAATGATTACGATATATCACTTTTTGATAAGTCATACAAGAAGATGTCATTCTATTTTAAGTTGAATTTGCAGAATTAAAACTTACAAACCCATCATGTTTAGATGTTCCGTAATAATAGTTAGCTGATCTACTGAATTTTCCATTGTAAATATTGATGGATCTTTGATATACTTAAAAGCACTCGGTCATCTATAAGAATGTGTAAAACAACTTATTCGTTAAATTTGATAGCAAAAAATTATTGAGATTAATTGTGATTTACTATACCTAATTTGGAATGATTTGTTCATAGACTTCGGAGTCACTTTTAAATATCAAGTTATTATATTAGACATTGCTAATTTTGTTTTCCTCTCTTGCATTTTTTACCTTGAGTCGATTAGGCTGAGATGAATTTTGAAATGGTTTATTTTATCTCATACAGCAGTTTAGTGCTAATTTTTGAAAATCTAATTTTTATTCATGTATCGTACTTTGTTAGACATAAGTTTGTTGATTAATAACCTGCATTTTTTAGAAAGTATCCTACTTTTATTAAATTATGGTTCCTCTGTCTTGATAATCTTAGGAAGAAACATGCTTGTTAGGCCCTTTAAATTTGAAATTTATAGCTTGGAAGTTGCTTTCTCTTTCACAGAATCTAAAGTCAAATCTAGCTTTCTTTTCATTATCTTATTAATACCGTTGCTTGTCTAAAGTTGAAAACTGTGGCTTTATTATACTGGAGCAATATTAATCGACTTTTGCTAATATAATGACTTCTTTGACCTCTGGTTTGTTCATTTCACTAAAGCTATCATGAGGGGAAGTAGAAGTTGATGATTTGTGACAGTTTTAGAGAATGTTATCGCATTGTTTCTCAATTATTGAGTTAGCCCTCTCTTTACAGTCTTAATCAGAAAGATCACGTGAGATCTACTTAGTCTCCTCATCATGCACCTGGAGATTTCCTAAAAAGAACGGCCTTTACTCCGTGGCATCGTCTCTCGTCTATTAATCCTAGCATTGCTACTCAGATCTATCTCGCTTGATTAAAGATCGGTTCATCTTTGTAAATATTTCTAATGAGTCTACACGGGCTCTATATTCAGTTTAATAATATTTAAATCTGATAGCGATTTAATATATTCTTAGAACACTCTAAATTGAGATTCTATTATAAACAATTAGGATGTCATCATTATTTCATTAGTTTTCAGTCAATCACAGAATCACTCACTCACGGGGTTTTGGGGTTTTGGGGTTTTGGGG